TCCCCCCGAAATCGTCTTCATCTACCTCCTACATGGTCTCAATATTCTCATATCCCTGTAACTACACCGTTCCTCCTGCCAAGTGTCCCTATGGTGAAATCAGTGAGAGAATAGGCTAGGATTTTTTTTCTTCTTCTTTTTCCTTTGTCATTTTTAGATTTTTTGGATTTACTTTCTTGTTCTTGTTGTTGTTGAAAGGAAGTAGTAGTTTGTTTAATCGGATCTGTCTAAAGCAAAATGATTAGAATAATTAATGAGTCATTCTACACTAATTATTTCTGTCAGATAGCAAGGCGCAAGAATCGGGACGAAAGGAATAACCGATAGACTAAGGAAGAAGAGGAGGAGAAGGAAGACAGAATAAAGGACGGAATAGGGTAGAGGGACGAAACGAAAGAGAAAGAAGGGGGAGGGATTAAGCAGAAAGGAATGTAGGGAGAAAGATATAGAGTGAGAGAAGATACAAATGAAAAGGAGAAAGAGCGAATAATAAAAAAAGAAGAGAAAAAAGGGGAAAACGAAAGAGAAAAAAAGAAAAGAAAAGAAGACGAACGGGAGTTAATGTGATGATAGTGTGACTGTCTAAAGCAAACACCTTGAGAGGGAGGAACACGTTCTTCCTTCCAGCAGAGACATTGGGAGAGCAAACACCCCAAGATGTCTCTTTAAGGAGGTCTCTCGACGGCAAAACACCGCCTCCTCCACCAAAACACCCTCCACCGTGGATCGCGTTGGTCTCGTGGTCTCCGAGGGTGGAGGGTTAGTGTTGGGTGGAGGAAACGGTCTTTTGGTGAAGGAGACGGTCTTTTGGTGGAGGAAACGGTCTTTTGGTGGAGGAGACGGTCTTTTGGTGGAGGAGACGGTCTTTTGGTGGAGGAGACGGTCTTTTGGTGGAGGAGACGGTCTTTTGGTGGAGGAAACGGTCTTTTGGTGGAGGAGACGGTCTTTTGGTGGAGGAAACGGTCTTTTGGTGGAGGAGACGGTCTTTTGGTGGAGGAGACGGTCTTTTGGTGGAGGAGACGGTCTTTTGGTGGAGGAGACGGTCTTTTGGTGGAGGAGACGGTCTATTGGTGGAGGAAACGGTCTTTTGGTGGAGGAGACAGTCTTTTGGTGGAGGAGACGGTCTTTTGGTGAAGGGAACTGTCTTTTGGTGGAGGAAAAAAAGTCATTTGGTGAAGGAGACGGTCTGTTGGTGGAGGAAACGGTCGTTTGGTGGAGGAAACGGTCTTTTGGTGGAGGAAACGGTCTTTTGGTGGGGGAGACGGTCTTTTGGTGGAGGAGACGGTCTTTTGGTGAAGGGAACTGTCTTTTGGTGGAGGAAAAAAAGTCATTTGGTGAAGGAGACGGTCTTTTGGTGAAGGGAACTGTCTTTTGGTGGAGGAAAAAAAGTCATTTGGTGAAGGAGACGGTCTGTTGGTGGAGGAAACGGTCGTTTGGTGGAGGAAACGGTCTTTTGGTGGAGGAAACGGTCTTTTGGTGGGGGAGACGGTCTTTTGGTGGAGGAGACGGTCTTTTGGTGAAGGGAACTGTCTTTTGGTGGAGGAAAAAAAGTCATTTGGTGAGGAGACGGTCTATTGGTGGAGGAACGGTCTTTTGGTGGAGGAAACGGTCTTTTGGTGGAGGAAACGGTCTTTTGGTGGAGGAAACGGTCTTTTGGTGGAGGAAACGGTCTTTTGGTGGAGGAAACGGTCTTTTGGTGGAGGAAACGGTCTTTTGGTGGAGGAAACGGTCTTTTGGTGGGGGAGACGGTCTTTTGGTGGAGGAGAACGGTCTTTTGGTGGAGGAGACGGTCTATTGGTGGAGGAGACGGTCTTTTGGTGGAGGAAACGGTCTTTTGGTGGAGGAAACGGTCTTTTGGTGGAGGAAACGGTCTTTTGGTGGAGGAAACGGTCTTTTGGTGGAGGAGAACGGTCTTTTGGTGGAGGAAACGGTCTTTTGGTGGGGGAGACGGTCTTTTGGTGGAGGAAAAAAAAGTCATTTGGTGAAGGAGACGGTCTGTTGGTGGAGGAGACGGTCTTTTGGTGGAGGAAACGGTCTTTTGGTGGAGGAGACGGTCTTTTGGTGGAGGAGACGGTCTTTTGGTGGAGGAGACGGTCTTTTGGTGGAGGAGACGGTCTTTTGGTGAAGGGAACTGTCTTTTGGTGGAGGAAAAAAAGTCATTTGGTGAAGGAGACGGTCTGTTGGTGGAGGAAACGGTCGTTTGGTGGAGGAAACGGTCTTTTGGTGGAGGAAACGGTCTTTTGGTGGAGGAAACGGTCTTTTGGTGGAGGAAACGGTCTTTTGGTGAAGGGAACTGTCTTTTGGTGGAGGAAAAAAAGTCATTTGGTGAAGGAGACGGTCTGTTGGTGGAGGAAACGGTCGTTTGGTGGAGGAGACGGTCTTTTGGCGGAGGAAACTTTTTTTTTTTTTTGTGGAGGAAACGGTCTTTTGGTAGAGGAAAAAAAGTCATTTGGTGGAGGATGTGTTTGTCTGGAAATAGAAAAAGATTATTTTGGTAGCAGAAAAGGTCGTTTGGTGGAGTAACGGGTTGTCTGGTAAAGGAAAGATCATTTTGGTGGAAGAAAAAGGTGGTTTGGTGGAGTAACGGGTTGTCTGGTAAAGGAAAGATCATTTTGGTGGAAGAAAAAGGTGGTTTGGTGGAGTAACGGGTTGTCTGGTAAAGGAAAGATCATTTTGGTGGAAGAAAAAGGTGGTTTGGTGGAGGAAATTACTTTTGGAAGGATGAAGGTTTGTCTGGGAATGGAGAGCAATTCTTTGGTGGTGGAAATTGATATCTAGTGGAGGATTCTTTGGTGTGTGTATGGGGGGGGAGGGGGATATACACGCACATACACGCACACACACACATATACACACACAAACAAACACACAAGCACCTTATTATTTTTATTTATTTTTATTTTCATTTTTATTTTTTTCAAACACGAAAATAAATGTGCCAAATATTCCACACTTTCTCCAGCAAACATTAATCCAATTCTCTCATTCTTTTCTCCCCCTTTTTCTTCCCTTTCTCTTCCTTCCGCTTTTCTTGTTTTCCCGCTGCGTTGAGGACTCTCTCGTGTTCGCTATTTCCACGCGCGTTCACTCACCGAGCCTCAGCTATGTTATATGTCATTCTTCCTCTATTTTCTGATTGTTTTCTCCTCCCTTTTTCTTTTATCTTCCTTTTCGTCTTTCCCTTCTTTTTCTTCTTTTTCTTTTTTTTCTTCTTCTTTTCCCTTTTTTTCTTATGTTTTTTTTTTCTTCTTCTTTTTTTTTCTTTCCTCCTCCTCCTCCTCTTCTTGTTCTTGTCCTTGTTCTTCTTCTTCTTATTTTTCTTCTTCTTCTTTTTCTTCTTCTTCTTGTTCTTTATCTTGTTCATCTCCTTCTTCTTCCTCTTCTTCTTCTCCTCCTCCTCCTTCTTCTCCATTTTCTTCTTCTCATTTCTAGAAATATATTCGCATATGTAACATACACGGATTTTTTTTCTGTCTCTCTCCCCTACACCTGTTCTTATTTCCGGAAACCATAACGGTGGCATTTTCTTGTCTCTCTTAATGGAGCTACAGGTGCCAGTGTCTCCCTTGGAGATGTAAGAAAGAGCCTTTATTCTTTTTATTATTTTATTATAATTCTTTTTTTTTTATTGTGTTTTCGCGTCTATGCAATTACGACTAAGATCTTACTCTTTTTCTTTTACATTGTGATCTGACAGTTGTTTTCTCTGTGTCTGTCTGTCTGTCTCTGTCTGTCTGTCTGCCTGCCTGCCTGTCTATGTGTCTGTCTGTCTGTCTATCTGTCTCTCTGTCTGTCTCTCTCTCTCTCTCTCTCTCTCCATCTCTCTCTCTCTCTCTTTCTCTCTCTCTCTCTCTCTCTCTCCATCTCTCTCTCTCTCTCTCTTTCTCTCTCTCTCTCTCTCTCTCTCTCTCTCTCTCTCCATCTCTCTCTCTCTCTCTCTTTCTCTCTCCCTCTCTCTCTCTCTCTCTCTCTCTCTCTCCATCTCTTTGTATTGCATCTAATACGTCCCTGTACATGATTTATTCCATATCTTCCAGCGCTATTCTCTTCTTCCCGAGGACTGATGCCGACCCTCCATGCCTCTCCTATTTCACAGCATCCAACGGTGTGAATTCCCATCGCCAAGTCCTATCATCAGAGCCAATGCTGTCTACTTCATCAATTCCATCTCCCACTTCAGCATCATTTCATCTACTTCGCTCGCTCCCTGTGGGCTTTCTCGCGTCCTCCTTAGCCAGAGGGCGGAGGGGATGGAAGCTCTGGTGGGAAAGTCTTGTTTGTTTCTGTCTGTGTGTTTGGGCGTTTGTCTGTTTGTATCTTTGTATCTTGTATCTCTCTGTCTGTCGGTCTCTCTTTCTCTCTGTCTGTCTGTCTCTCTTTCTCTCTCTCTCTCTCTCTCTCTCTCTCTCTCTCTCTCTCTCTCTCTCTCTCTCTCTCTCTCTCTCTCTCTTCTCTCTCTCTCTCTCTCTCTCTCTCTCTCTCTCTCTCTCTCTCTCTCTCTCTCTCTCTCTCTCTCTCTCTCTCTCTCTCTCTCTCTCTCTCTCTCTCTCTCTCTCTCTCTCTCTCTCTCTCTCTCTCTCTCTCTCTCTCTCTCTCTCTCTCTCTCTCTCTCTCTCTCTCTCTCTCCCTCTCTCTCTCTCTGTATATATATATATATATATATATATATATATATATATATATATATATATATATATATATATATATATACATTCCTCTTGCTTCTTCTCCTTCTTTCGCCACTCCATCTTTTCGTCTACTTTACGTGATTAGACTGCCACCCGTTGTCTCCCTCATCCTCTCTCGTCCTCCCCCCCCCCCCCCCATCTCTCTGTTATCTGCCTTATTTGCCTTTCTCTCTCTCTCTCTCTCTCTCTCTCTCTCTCTCTCTCTATATATATATATATATATATATATATATATATATATATATATATATCTCGCTAACTATCTATCCGTCTATCTATCTATCTAACTATCTATCTGTTTGCCAAACTATC